ATTTTTGCATCTATGTTCATTAAGGATATGGGTCTATAGTTTTCCTTTTTGATTGTGTCTTTCCCCAGTTTGGGTATTAGAGTGATGGTGGCTTTATAGAAGGAATTTGGGAGTTCTCCCTCTGTTTCTATCATTTTGAATATTTCTGTTTCTATCATTTTGAATAATTTAAGTAGTATTGGTTGGAGGTCTTCTTTATATGTCTGGTAGAATTCTGCTGTAAATCCATCTGGGCCTGGGCTTCTTTTAGTTGGGAGGCTTTGTATTACTGTTTCAATTTCCTTGTATGTTATGGGTCTGTTTAAACTGTTGACCTCTTCTTGGTTTAATGTTGGTGGTTCATACCATTTTAGATATCCATCCATTTCTTTTAGATTTTCAAATTTGATAACTTATAGGTTTTTAAAATATTCCAAGCCAGGCGTGGTTGCGCACGCCTTTAATCCCAGCACTTGGGAGGCAGAGGCAGGTGGATCTTTGTGAGTTTGCGGCCACCCTGGTCTGCATAGTGAGTTCCAGGACAGCTGTGGCTACAGACAGACCCTGCCTCAAAAAGACAAAAGAAAATACTCCCTTATAATGGTTTGGATCTTTTGGGCGTCTGTTGTGATGTTTCCCCTTTCATTTCTGATTTTGTTGATTTGGATTTGCTCTTTCTTTCTTTTGGTTAACTGGGCTCAGGGTCTGTCTTTCTTGTTTAACTTTTCAATGAACCAGCTGTTAGAGTCATTGATTCTTTGTATTGTTTTCTTTGTTTCTATTTCATTAATTTTTTATGTGATTTTTATTATTTCTTCTCTTCTTTTGGGTTTGGGTTTCATTTGTTCTTGCCTTTCCAGTGTCTTGAGTTGCAGTGTTAGGTCATTTATTTGAGCTCTTTCTAATTTTTTAATGTAGGCACGTAGAGCTATAAACTTTCCTCTTAGGACTGCTTTTAAAGTGTCCCAGAGGATGTGTTTTGTTGTATTGTCCTTTTTGTTGAATTCCAGGAACTCTTTTATTTCTTTCTTAATTTTTCCTTTGACCCACTCGTTTAGCGGTGTGTTGTTCAATTGCCACGAGTTCATGTAATGACTAGGGTTTAGTCCAGTGTTGATTTTGAGCTTTATTGCATTGTGGTCTGATAGAATGCATGGGATTATTTCAATTTTTTTGTATTTGTTGAGGTTTGTTTTGTGGCCCAGTATGTGATAAATTTTTGAAAAATTTCCATGGTGTGCTGAGTAGAAAATGGGTGGAATAATCGAAAGATGTCTGTTAGGTCCATTTGATGTATGGTATCACTTAATTCAGAAGTCTCTCTATTTATTCTTTGTCCAGTTGACCTGTCTAATGGAGACTGTGGGGTATTGAAGTCCCCTACTATTACTGAGTTGGGGTTAATCTGTGTCTTAAAGCCCTGTAGTGTTGTTTTAATGAATTTGGTGCACCAGAGTTTGGTGCACATATGTTAAGGGTTGTAATATCTTCTTGGTTAACTGTTCCTTTGATCAGAATGAAATGCCCTTCCTTATCTCTTCTGATTAGTTTTACTTTGAAGTCTATTTGTCAGATATTAGAATTGCAACCCCTGCTTGTTTCTTAGTACCATTCGCTTGGAATATTCTTTTCCATCCTTTTACCTTAAGGTAGTGCCTGTCCTTGAAGGTGAGATGGGTTTCTTGCAGGCAGCCAAGAGATGGATTTTGTTTCTTAATCCATTCACTTAGCGTGTGTCTTTTGAGTGGAGAGCTCAGTCCATTGACATTTGCTGTTTGTGCCCTCTAATTTTGTGTTTCCTAGATTATACCTTTATTTATTTTCTTTCGTTGCCCCTGGGGCATAGTTGTTTCTCTCTGCTCTCTGCATTGCTTTAAGTATTCTTTGCAGGGCTGGTTTTGTTGACATGTATTCTTTCAGACTTTCGTATCATGGAAGATTTTTCTTTCCCCCTCAACTATAATAGACACCTTTGCTGTGTGAAGTGTTCTGGGCCGGCATCTATTGTCATGTAGAACTGGAAATACCTTGGTTCAGGCTCTTCTGGCTTTCATAGTTTGCAGTGATAAGTCAGCTGTAATTCTGATGGGCTTTCCTTTGTGTGTGACTTGTTTTTCTTTTGCTGCTTTCAGTATTCTGTCTTTGTTCTGTAATTTTTTAGTTTTTTGTTTGTAGTGTTTTACTATAATATGCTGTGGGAAGTTTC